TTTTGTTGCTAAGACACTGTCACGCTCAACGTCGAGCGTTATTTCCATGTCGATCGAGACGAACTCGCTCGATACACAGATCGGAACAGGAAGATGAAGCGAGCTTAACCCTTTAAAGCCCAACCGGGTTTCGCTCGGAAATCCTTTTTCGAGCTCCCGTTTTAGCGCGGCTACCGGGACTGAACTTTTCAAAAAAAGTAATTTCGGAGCAAAACCATTGGATCCTGAAGGATTAAAGGATATCCGATCGTCGGTCAGGATACCCTGAACCATACATACTAACAGAAACCTAGCTCGCCTCACGCGACGTGTTCGGCTGAGTGGAATAAAAGCGGACGAAACATTGAGAGAGGATTTTTCGAAAAGAAAATGTTCCGATGGAGACCCGGCGGTGTAACGTTAAAAATTAAAAGCTCAACAAAGTTTCGCTCGTTAATTAATTTGAAGCGGAACTCCCACTTCAATAGGGCGTCTCACTTTGCAGCTTAATAATTGAAATATTTAACACTGAAAGTTACATAACTAATGAGAACTGGCTCGAAATAATTTAACGGAGCCATCGTTCGAACGTGTACTCGTGCTTCCGCGACGTGGTCCTGTATACTATTCTTCTCTAGGGAAAAGTGTGGTTTTGCATTTTCCATAAAGTCGTCGCGGAGTACCATGTGCGCGCAAATAGACGGCACGGTAATGGAATATGCACCGGAGGAAACGTACATATAGTAGATTATATTCCGCGTCGCGGAATAGCCCGGACGCGTTTGGTAAACCGGATGCGCTTTTTGCGAAGCGCTTCACGTGTTTTACGCGAGAATCCTCTTTCCGTAGGGAGCGTCTTAAGCGCAAAGACGCGGCCGTATTATCCAGCTCGTCGAACGAATTCTCCGTACGATCGACGCGTCGTTTACACCACTCACGCTCACATTTCTACGTTTCGTCCTAATTCATCGTCAAGTGCAGCGTGCGGCCGTGAGTCAGCGTCGCACGCCGCCGGCTTCGAAGGATCGCGCGGACGGTTCACGCACATTGTCGCACGCCGTTCGTGCGTGCGCCGCCGGACACACGCCGTAAACAAAGCGTACCTCTTAGCGAGGGAGCGAACGGCGCGAAGAGTGCAACGACCCGCCGCCGTTCTGTGTGTGACGTAGCTTTCGGATCAGCTGACGGCGGTCGCGTCGTTTGTTTATCGTGCGCGCGAGATGCTGCCCGACGCGGTTGCTTTCTCGAGAAACGCTCTCGAACGCTCCTTTCCTATCGCGAATCACGTTTCCGCGAGTCTAATCTACTCGGGGTGCGGAAGAATCACGTCTTACGTGTTGAAAATATGTATCATATTCGCGAGGGAGGTGAAACAGCTTCGCAGAGAGGGAAGAAGAAGTCGCAATCGACGGATAAACAGACAAAGAGAGAGAGAGAGAGAAGGAGAGATGCGCTTAACTTCTCAATAACATAATAAATAACAAGGCAGCGCGCGTTGTTGTGTAATCCACCTCGGTTTCCACAAGCGTGTGCGTAACACAGCACACCGATAATCGCGCTCCGAGTGTCGTAACGTCCGTCCATCCGACGCTACAAATGCGAAAGTTAGGTTAGGGTTAGGTTAGGTCCTTACCATAACAGACCGTTGCGGGACAAGCGCTGACTCGCTTTCACTTTCGCGCTGACTCAACAATACGCGTTAATTAGAGAAATTAGATGTTCCCCTTCCCCCTTTGGATTTCCCCGCCCGTCGCGGCATCTGAATGACGTTCGTCCGGCGACAATACCGCTTCTTCGCCGCGTTTAACCGACTCTCTCGGCTGCGCATCGATTCGCGTGGATGACATTGATCCTTACCTTCGCGCGGCTCCGATTCCACCGACGGTGTCCCCTCCTCGTTCCCGCAGGCCGGATTTAAATCCTCCGGTCTCTTGCGACACTCCTCCGATTCCTTCTTCGCCACGAAGAACGCGTTGCGACGAGGGTCCTACCAAACATGGGAATGCCGATACCCGGTTTTCGCGATGACACAATCCCCTCGGAGAGACCTCGCTCTCCGTCGTTGCTTGTTCCAAGACACAGCTCGTCCGTTTGTCTCACCTTATCAGCTGGCCGATGTGATGCCTCGACTTCGAAGAGTTTCCAGCGTTCGTACTTTGTTTCCTTTGTCATGACGGCGAGCTGCCGTGCGACAGAGACAGAGAGGGAGACAAAGACGGGTATACATATACGTATACACACGTATCTATAGCGACGAGCCGATTCGAGAGGCGAACGCTCGGAAGGTAGCCGATGGAATTCACTGTGCTAAGCGCGAATCGGTGGAACACACCGACGAGACACACGTGGACGTAGACCGCGAGGGTAAAAATAAACCCTGCACCGGACGGACAGATTCTCGAGAACGCTCGGACGGCGGACGATGGCGATGGCCCGGGTGCAGTTTCAACCCCCGCGATTTTCCGCCGTTAACGGCGACCAGCGGCTCGAATACTCACATGACGAGACGCGAGACGATCGACGATATCATATTAACAGGTCCTGCGGTACGACGGGACGCGCGCGAACGGTAGAAACGAACGACTAAATGCGGACGGCCGTCTGTAGCACCGCTGCTCACAGGTCAGCCATGTTGGACTGGCAGCTGGCTGCTGCTGCGCTTGTGACGTCACGCGGTGTTTTCGTCACGTGACGCCAGGCACGTACCTCGGGATTTAAAGGAGCTTTAATCGACGACGATTTAATTTCATTTCCGCGTCAACCCTTGCTCGATCGAGTATGCTTGACGTACCCTCGTGTATCCTCACGTCAAGTTCCCTCTGGGAAATTTAATTTCGAGACAACTGCGCCGTGCGTTGTTCGGAAATTTTCCCGCGATATTTCGAATTTTGCGTTTCAATCTTAAATCGGCGGCTTAAAATTTGATTTCTGAATTCTCCCCGGGAAAAATTCGGCACATCGTTGAAAATTAAGTCAATAATGAAAACTGTTGTTTTTAACGGTAAACTTCGAATTTTTGCGCATTATATATTACATCGTGATTGGAACGTTTTACATCACGCAATAACTCACGTTTTACCGAAACTTTCTCAAACAATTCACCTTCTCCAAAAATTACGACCATAAAACGTTTTCCGGCTCGCCGCCAGCCACGTAAACACACAAATTCTCTAGTCACGGGAGGAGAGAAAAGGAAAACTAAAAAAACTGACTAAGAAAAGGAGAAGGAAAAAAGCAGGAAAATCCTATCGGCGAAACGTTTTCCAGTGCAAGTGCGCAAACAAGCACAAATTCCGCAACGAAGAAGAAAACGTCCAATTAGAAAATCTCTGTATATAATTAAACGGAAAACCTCACATATACCAGACACGAAGAAAAAGTTTGTTCGCATACTCGCATTCGCAGAAATTTGACATCGAAAGAAAAAAGTGCCGCCGTCGTGATTTGTTACCTCAGAAGAGAAGCGAGCCGGACAAGAGTACCGAACGCTCTCGTCAACGACTTCTTGACTCGTCCAAAAGGCAGACATCCTCTCTTCGCTTCCAGAAGGCGAAGAAACCGGGAGATCGGGCGGCACGTCGATGCGTGAATACAGGCGCGGAACGTGGAGCAGCGCGTGTGCGTGTCGCGACAGGAGAAGGCGATTCCCCCAGGCGCCCACTCGCTCAGCCCCGCTCACCTCCGTGGCGTCGTCGGCCACCCGCGCGCGCGACCCCACGCTTCTCGCGGTCGGTGCTACGGCCCTAAGCACCCCACCCCCGTGGCGCTCTCTCGTGCGATGGGTGGCGAGGAGCGACGCGGCACGGCGCTGTGCTGCGGTGTTGGAAAGGACTGGGGGGAGAGAGCGCGCGCTCGCTCGAATCGCGCGGAGGGGAGATGTCGGATCGCGGCTGGGGAGGTGAGCCGGGAGGGAAAGAGGGAGCGCAACGGGGGGAGGGTGTACGGGCCGCGGGAAGGAGCCGTGCCTCCCTGCCGTCCGCCCGCAGTGCGCGCTACGCGATATCACTGGCCGGTCATGTGTGTGTTACTCTCACGTTCACACTGGTACCGTTCGGAGTAGTACTTCGTTACTGCGCTGCCACTGCCGTTACCGTCTGCCGCCGCGTAGTGTAGTGTCCAGTGCTACACCCGGTGCGCGCCCGGAAGTCGAAAGTGTGTCCGGTCAGTCGGTTGATCTCTCAGTAACGCGAACCGTCACCGTTGTCAACAGTGCCCTGGGACGGAGGAGGGACGGATCGCCCCGTGACTCTCTCTCTCTCTCTTTCTGCCTCCTTCTGTCACACGTCGGTCCGGTGTTGTGGACCCGATCGTCAGAATACACACATCGCCAGTAAAGAAGCACACACAGGAGAAGGCGCGCACAGGTGGAGACGCGGGCTCTCGCTCTCCGTCTCTCTTATCGCAAAGATTGTCGCGCGCGCGCCGGCAGAAACGGAGAGAAAACATCGTGAAGTGAGCGACGAAGGGTGATCGCGCGCGCAAAGGCTCACGGCCGGACAGAGCGAGAGCGAGGGAGAAAGAGAGAGAGAGGGAGAAGAGAAACACGTTAGGATTCGCGCGAGGAGTCTCGTGGCCACTCTCGCGGAGAGAAACCTCTAGCGCGCGTCCGGATACAAGCGGGAGAAAGGAGTGGCAGTGGAGCGTGTGCTTCGTAAACGAAGAGGAGAGGAGAGAATACGAGAGAAGCTGCCGCCGCCGCGCGTCTCATGGCCCCGTTGTTCGATGGCCCTTCGTGATCGCGACAGGAAGAAGTCGGAGTCGCGGAATGGTGCCTTGTGTCGCCGAGGAATAGTGATCGCTCGTGACAGGGTCCGACGTTGCGTCCCCCCTCGCGCCGTGGCGGTGCGTGCGTCCGTTGTTGTTTTTCTTTACTTCTGGGGGGCGAGGCACGCTCCTCGGAGGTTAGACGGAAAAACCGGGTCGTTGACAGGGGGGGCAGGGGGCCGGGAGTGGTGAGTGAGCGAGAGAGAGAAGACGGAAGAGAAGCGGGGACGAGNGGGGGGGGACGCGAGCGAGGGAAAGGGTGACTGGCAGACCCGGCTGTGGCGATCCGAAGTCGCGGATTCGGCACGCCGCGGTTTACCGATCGTAATATGGCGTACAAGTTTCGCGAGGAGATCGTGGGAAAGAGGTTTCTCTCGGTGAGTGGTTTCACCAAGCCGAAGGTGAATAAGATTAGTGAGTGGGGTTGGCGTGCGGGGGTGATACGTGCTGCCAGTCACAGGGATAATGGCTGTCATGATCTTCAGGTGAGTATCTCGATACGAGATTTTTCCATCTCTCTCTTTCTTAATCGGATAACGGCCGAGCCGACCGCGTAAGGACGCGAGCGTGTTTTCGGTGTATTTACGTTACACGTTCGTCCGGACATCGCGCGCGCGACGCCTCGCGCCGCCGTTGTGTTTACATTTAGCGAGCCGCCTTTCGTGCGTATAACCAAAGTACGCCAGCTCGACGGTTACTTCACTCCGAGTTATGAGAGCAACCGGGTCCGTCTCGAGAAAGTCGCCTTAGCCCGATTAGGTGCCGACGTTTGTCGCTGGATATGAAGATCGGCATGTATTTTGCTGAATTCGGCTCTTTATAATCTATCTATAGGAAAAATGTTTCCGATCGCGGGATCAGTGCTTGCAAATAATGGCGAGGCTAAGTTACTTTCGTACTTTGAATGTCCCGAAATTACGCTATATTTGTAGGGACACGATCATTTGATCACTCATAATAATAATAATAATTGTATATGTTTTATTTGTGCGTATGATTCGTATTTTACAATAACAAAATGTTTTTAAATCCTAATTACATCCCGCCTTCGGGAATGGTACAACAGCGTACAGCGGCCATATTTAAAATAAAGTTATCGTTAGCGCAAATGGCGCGTAGATTCGGAGATACGAATATATTTTGACGATATTTGATATACATCAAATATATACATCGTAAATTAGATACTCGCGAATATCATGGGAAATATCGGAGTGGAGTAACGATCGATCGTGATACATATCTTTGAAATTAAAATTCTTTTATATATATAATATTTACCGATAAAATATTTTGAAGATCTTTCTTACGTCTCGGTAGGAAAGAGACACTCGAGACAAGTGAATTGAATATACGTTCTCGTAAATATTCGGGCGACACAATGTTTGCTTTGAACTTACGCTCTTGTCTTTTTTAGTACAACAGTTAGATCTTTGCATATTATTGAATAGAATTCTATCGAGGCCGTGTTCTTTAAATAGAAGATATAACCTTGCGTGAATATCCGTCCGAATACTTTATGAATACGATAAGTTCGATTTTACTGACCTCTGTATCCTCCGAATTCTGATACAGATTATATGTTTTCGTATTTATTCGTTTTTTATGTATATCAAACATATATACACTAATATATACTTGATGTAATTTTTTAAGAATGTAGATACGAATGATCATACTCGAATTGTGTTTATCAATAACACATCGTCAATGCTTCACGAGGATGCATATTTTTTATAAGCAACGCTCAATAACATTATGAAACTGATACTCTACAACTCTTGTAACATATAAATTATTAACGTGAAATCTCAAAACTCAACGCCGAACAGAATTTCTCCAGAATTATAGAAAAATCAGGCTGATCGGTTGACTAATGATCTCTTAAAGAATGAAATCTCTTCGAGGGCGGTTGGTATTGTATTAAAATAATTTTTACGATAACGTTTATTTGTGAGAAATAATCTCTCTGAATGTCATCAATAAGATTTTTCAACCAGATAGTGAATTTTTATACAAACCGATGTCGGTCTGAAATTAAATTGACCTTTCATCTTTCATATTTCATATTTAACAATCATCGTTACAATTCTATGTGCACAGTCAAAAATAAAATGTTAATTTTAACATTTTTTACGCATGTTCCAGAAAGTCCATTCTAAATTTTAAATCGTTATAATTCATTCGTCATATGTTATTTTTTTGCAAATTGAAAATATTAATGAATTGACATTTACATATTTTCTTCTAACACATGACATTAAAAATTTTGACTTAAATTTTATCCGTAATAGTAACATTTGATGTTAATTAAATAGACATATTTATAATGTCAAATGTGATAAATATTATTTTCACGCAAAAAATTCATCACTTTTTTTTTAATCGCGTTCTTAAGGAGAATAATATCGTCAATGATTATGCCCGAAATACTCTTTTAGTTACGTGCCATTTAATTGATTTAGTTAATATCTGAAAAATGTATTTGCCACTGATGGGACTCGAATCCGAACTTTGGATTTTGAATCATTATCTTACGTATTATACCACTGCTATATTTTAGCTACACACATATTTCGTATTACCTCAGATTCAAGATGGTAATTGTTACTGCGGGTAAAATTAACACAACTTGTCTGTAAATTTTAGCGTATAAAATGTAATTAATGATATTCAGTAAATTTTACATCTTTGTTAATCACACTGAAATATGAAATATGTTATCCTAACGCATATATATGGTGAACATCGATTAAACGCAAAATGTTGAGATAACAAACACAATTTTGTCAAATTAACTAATCAACTAATCAACTGTAAAAGAGCACGAAATAATATTTTATTTTTAAATGATACGCGCGAAATACGTTTAAGTTATTAAATTGATATAAATATAATATATGAAAACGTCACGAAAATGGTAAGACATGAGCTATATTAATTTTGCATTAAAATGACAGTCAAAAGTTGGTAACACACAAAGAAATGTTAACACTTGGACAGAAGATTTTTTTACCGTATGTCGCGTAATACGCACGTCGCTCTTGTCTCCGAATATCAATCTCAATCACATTTTTCAAACGTTCGTTACAAGAGAGGCGGTCGTGGATTTGTGATTGTCATCGCGGCTTGACAAAATTACGTAAGTTTATCTGTCAGGTCTTTCTAAGTCTTTCTTTAAAGTCAAGTCATAACTATTTCAGTTTTCGAGGACATTGCCAGCTTACGTATCAACGTCATTTTATACACGTACAGACACACACATATATACGTGCGCACCGTGTACACATATTTCGCGTTACTTGGCCAGTAATATTTGCCAATTATACTCTGTGGCCAAAGGCCGCGATTATGTCAGTCAAGCGTAAAATCTCGGAAAATCTCGGCCTCGGCGACCGATTTTTCCTTCATGTCGCGATGAAATTCATAATTCTTCGCTCCGTACGGTGGAAATCCCATCGAAAAATCAAGGCCTCGTTACGTAACCGGTCAAATTTCGGTTGGCACAGGCGCGTGAAATTAATTTCCAGTATCACTTCAGTGGCACTTCAGTGGCAGTACTTATCTCTTACGTAATGAAATAAACGGTTGTCTTCACATATCATTCACCGTTCCATGGAACAATCGTCTCCGTAACGATAACGTGATGTTAGTTTATCTACGTATTATTATCGCAATTAGCACCATCATTACTGCAAGAGTTCACGGAGGGCTATCGCTTCTCAGTAACGGTACTTAAAGACAGAGACTTTCCTATTAGGAGGAATGTCAAGCATCTATAGTTCCTATTAATTCCTGATAATGTCTCGACTTTACTAATAAAATATCCCAGGTTACTCCGCTGTTCAAATATATTTACCTCGTAAATTAGTCGAACGCTGATCGTCAGTCGCGGTACAGTCCCGATCGATCTTCGACACCCGGAGTTAATAATAGCGGTACTTATTCGCGATATTCATTACCGGGTCGCCCGGTTTCAACTATCCCTAATGGCCCTCGCGGCGTCTGCGAATTTATCGCGGCGCCGAGGAGCATCGGACGTCTCCCGGAGTGAATTTAGTTGACATCTGTTCGGTATTTGCCGCTCCGGGAGTCAACGACTACAAACGCCGTTAGATATTCCACGGGGTCATCGTGCGTCTCTCGCGAGCGGCGGCTACGCTTTCCGGTTTCCGCGTCGCGAAAAGTGCTCTCGTTTCTCGCTCGAAGGTGTCGACGAACTCGTCTAATAAAGAGCCCCCCCGGACTCGGCGAGGTGAAAGTTATCGAGTCGTCGCTTTTAAATCTCGAGGAATGATAATCCCGACGCGAGAAGCAAGTTCGATGCAAGCGAAATTGCCTTTCTTGAGAAAAAAAAGAAGCGCTTTTTCTTTCTGCCTCCGTCGATAGTAGACGGCGATAAAGAGAAGCACCTTGGAGTATTGACAAGTCGTTGAAATATCGAACGCGAGGGAAATGAGTGTTTCATCGATAAGGACGCTCTCGTATGAGACTCGTGCGATCGTCACCTTGAAACTTCTATGCTAACTTTAGACATGAAATGATGCATAACTCGACAATGCACTATAAATCGCAGCCTGGAGCGACGGGAAAATACGAGGTAGCGCGATGTACAGTCGAATAAAATAGCTTTTAATCCTTCGTGAAATTTATGAGGTCTGCGTTCTGAAAAATTTATCGCGGTCGAAGGATCGAAATAGTTGGGAAAAAAAATTGTTCTATCCTCCTTCCTGGAAATAGATATTTATCCCCGAAGCGCTCGTTTCCTCGATACCGTGGGTGCATCTCGGCGACACTTTTTGTTCGTAAATTCTCCCATTGTTTGAATACCGCTTTCTTGGCGCACCTGCCGCACCGTCCGCGACGAAGCACCGTTATGGTCGGTGCACGAAATATACGAAGCGCCTTGGGGGGAACGGTGAGATTACGCGGTGACGCAGGATAGTCGGAAGATGCATCGGTTCGGAAGGATCGCTCGGTCAAGGAGGAAGAGGGAGGGGGAGGGTAGAGAGCTGTTGCAGGGATCGGAAAGATAGCGGTGGTACCCCCGAATTATCGAGAATTCGCGATCGTGCCGCGGACCCTGAAATTTGCGGTTTACAAAACCGCGCGCATCGGCCGCGTACGTACCTAACACTTTCGTGTAATTTGTATAGCGGGTCGATGTTTTGTTCCTGCAAAAATTGCGGTCGAAATTCCGGGTCAAAGCTGAGGGGGTGTCCGAATATACGCGACCGACGATAAACACTCGGCACGCGCGAATTTGGTCCCGCCGAATTAGTTTCACGAGGCTTGCGTCTGCGTGCGCGATGCGAATCGCGACACTAACGATGTGTCGCTTAGACAGGGAAATCGTCGGCTCCCAGGTTGATACATATTTTCAAAATAAGCGACAGTAGACATTCACTCACTTATTGTTCGGAAACGTGGCGCGTGGTTAAGTACGTTCAGTACAAATTGCTGTATTTATACGTAAGAGGTCTTT